TAATACTATAATTTTTGTGGAAATAAATATAAATTCTTATTTGTGGAAAACCACAACAGCTCCGGGTATCATCCTGGAGATGAGGCGTTGATATATATTTATTATATATTATATATATATATTTATTATATACATTATATTTATTATATTTATATTCGGAGCTGATTAAAATCTCCAGGATATCTAGATGGGGTTTGAAAAATCTTGGAATTTACCAGTACAGTGTACGAGACAGGTTGATAAATGAGATAATAAATGAGAGAAGAATTCGGATTTGTCTACATTTTTATCGCGGGAACGTACGTGTTTGCGATCATTATGTTAGTGATAATTCACGGAAATATTTATCAGGTGGAGATCATTCTGGAGAGTCTTCCTCAATGGCAGCATAAAACATCTCGTGTGCATCAACCTCTTTTTTTATTCATCCGTCTCGATGGTTCAGGTGCATTTGGTATCCCACGCAACCGGACAAATTGCACTTCCATGAATCGGTACAAGTGGGTGACATGTTCGTGATAGTATTACAAAATGGCTGGCAACTACTACTTTTCACCAGGTGATGCGAAACAAATTCTTCTTAAGATGCAGCAGGCACGTTGATGGAGTCATATAACTGCAAGAGTAATTGACCGGAGTGACAAATGAAACATCAATTCCGCAATAAAGAAATCATTTATTTGAATCAAGTAAATAAATTCACTAACATCGTGAGAAATCCAATCCTTTTTACAAATCCGAAACCTATATTTATTTGAATTTTTGTTATTAAAAAGATTTCTCAAAATAATAATTATCATTATTATTTTGGCTTTATTAGCTATTTTTACGGGAGCCAGATATTTTATTATGACGTCAGAGTATCGAATCGAAAGCTTAACTACGAATGAAGCTATTTGCGTATTTCGTTTCATATGCGGTTGATGAATGAAGTACTTTGAATTATCAGGAACTCCACGCGCAAAGTACATTCATCATAATTTCTTTTAGAGTTTGATTTCCTGGGAGAATACACATGTGGGTTTTACACGTGCAATAATCTGTATTTGCCACAAGAGACTACTAGGTACATACAGGTGAAGTTGAGTGCATTGTCTACATCACGAGAAATTGCCGTGTTTCTAGAGCGTCAATCACTTATTCCGGCAATAGTCATTATTTTTATTACCGCGATAATGGTGATCGATTTTTTTAATAGTCCCAAGTCAAATCATTAGACTGTAAAAAAAAACAATTTCTAAGTGATTTTAGTAAGATTTACTGTTTTACACACTAGTTTAATAAAAATTTATCGCTCGCAACGTCTGGAGGTGAAGCATTGAATTCTGGAAAGGCCTCCATTTGTGAGGTCAATGACTGGTGTCCATTGGACAGGCATTTGAATGAATAATACAGGGAAATCCTCGACATTCCCTAAATCGGGAATTCGAAGACTGCAATGTAATTGATATGCGGCCACGAATTTGGTGAGCCTATGCGAGCATTCGTTTAGTGTCTCATGTAAATCGATCATTGTTTTATACAGCCAAAATAAATTATGCCAAGTGTCGGGGTCGTTGCATTAATAAGAAACTCCCAACGCTCTTGAATAATGAATCGTCGATTGAACGGACGCGATAACGTCATGTCTTACTTCACCAATTCATCGAAGACTTCACATTTCGTTCTTCATCGCCTCATCTTCCCATTAGCTGTGAAAATAGTCCAGTTGTTCCATTGCAGCCCAGCGGGAAATCATTTCCAAACAGCAAATGAGATAATTACATTATGAAAGAAATGAATAATCAGCGAACGGAGTGATTGGTCAAGGAATCAATAAAACATATAATATAATACAATATGTTTATTTACAATTTGTCAAGACAAGTGCGAATCTCAAACTACTGAAAAACGCTCGATTCTTACGACTAAATTAATTAAAAATAATGAACTGTCATGTTCAATTCTTGCACAACCGAACGTTCCTGTATAATTTTGAGCGCTTAGGTAATTTACATGGTATTCTATCGATTGTTCAAACAGTCTCAAGCATCGATAAAGAGATGATGAGAATGCGTTACTCCTGAATTATGTTGAGAGAAATTAGAGAAAATGGAAACGACAAAAAATAGCGAAACAATAATTGGATTAATACTGTTTCCATTATCTCCAAGACCCTATCATTATGGGAATTTATCGACTGTGGGCATGAATCAACACCTACTGAAGTCTTAGGTACAGTGTTAACTTAACAATTAGCACTGTTAAGTGATGTGATAATGATCAGAGCAGTGGTTATTGCGAGTGCATTGATTAGTCTAGTGGCTCGAGAGCACGAGATAATTAAAGATACGAGTCAAGTTGTGGAAACTTCGCGCTCGCTAATTCGTTCGATTGCAAATTATGTTTTATTAGTACGACTAGATCCTCTTGAGACTTGTGTTAAGGCTTGCTTTCTAATAATATTGTCGCTTACAAACCCCGTGGTTTAACATGACAAAAAATATGGAGAACTCAACAAAATCATCGTTGGCTCAAAATTAATCAAAACAGTAAAATACACGACGCACCACTGTTGAAAAATTTTCATTGAATTTTCCAGATAACTTTTACATATTTTTTGCAAACTAATGCCACTGGAATCAATAACTCTCATGGGTTTTCACGATATTTTCAATATTCAATTCAAAATTTAGTGGAAAATTTATTTTAGAATATTACTTTACGTAAAACTCAAACTCTCCAACCGGAAACATCAGTATAAAATTTTCAACAGTGCAATAAATAACGAAACACTGGTAACAAAACAGTCGACTAATATTGATTGATTTCATGCACGAACTACTCTCGCACTAAAATCCCTCGATTATGGAATCCAGTGAGGATAATCCACCCAACGAATTTTTTTCAAACATAAATTATTCCTCTCTAAAAATGGCGAGATTGTGAGATAACTCTCCTAAAAAAATATATAACAAAAAATCGGATTTCAAATACGAGTGGCACTTTCATGACAGTACGTGATTCTGATCACAGAGCTTTCATGACACTAAGAAAAATATTATCTCCGCATGAAGTTTAGTGTTAAAGAAATTTGTTGGAGACAAGAATAAAAACGGGGATTTTCCGTACAGCACTGCATGATTCGTAATGAAATTAATAATTCAACCATTAGATGGTCTCAATTATATTTAATTGGCACAGAAATATTTTTTTTCTTAGTGTATTCTCTCATTTCTCTCCACTTATACTCAATTCATCGTCGGTATCTGGCCGTATCTTTACGGTGGAGCAGAGTAGGGTGGTTGCTGTCAGCAATTCTGATTGTGTCTTTCATCCCCAAAATAAGACACAGACACAACATCACCCCCAACATTGATGAGACACTGGCCCTGAAATTTTAATGTACATTTAACGGTGTGAAGTAATCAAGTTCAAGGGCAAACAAAACGATCGTAAAATGTAAATAGAGAATTGGGCAGATGAGTCAGGAGTGATTTCAATACTGAATTTACATTGTTACCCGAAATTTCCATCAACAGATTTGAGGATTGCTCGGTTGGGTGTGAGGACAGCTTTGAAAACAAAGAATTTTGAATAATTCATTGGAAAATTTCCACACGGGATGATTCAAGTTCGTCTTTAGGATTTGGTGACTCGATGGTAGTTGAACGAAAATCCGACGGAAAGAAATTCATCTCTCACTTTGTAGAGTACCCAGGGCAATTCCAATATCTCGGCGTGCTAAGTTATGATCAGACGTGCGGAAAATTAAATGCAGTATTCATAGGCCAGAGATAGATTCGAAATTTCTTGTTAGAAGTTGCTCTGCATATAGGCCACGCATGGCAATACGCCTCTGCATATACAATACACGTGATCCAATGGAGTAAAGGGCAATCTAAATTTTCCCTTTCGATAGTATTGCGGAGACCTTTCAAAACGACAAAACAACTCCAAGTGTAGGACGCTGAGGCGCAGGTGGAGCTTCATAAATAATATTTCGTTTCGTCGTTTCCAATAACAAATGCTACGCTTAAATTTTCTCAAAGACCCTTCCACACTCAGACATTTTCACCCTCAAAGGCCCGAGTATAAAAATTTCAAGTGGGTTTTAGCATTAAAAAAAACGAATATCCCTGACATAAAAAATTCCATTGGCACTCAGAGAAAAGACGGGAATAATATCGTAGAAATAATTTTGTAGGCTAACTTAAAAGTTATTATTGTGAAAAATAGGCTGGTATTTTCAACCAAGAACTGTTTGAAGACGCAATTAAATTTTTGTTAACTGATTTCTAGGATTTTATTCCATCGAAAATTTCCTATTGTCACGTCAAATTGTTGTCGAGTGTAAATGCAGATATTCTAATAATTTAATGATATTTGATTTCGCTGCCTGGAGGGAAAGAATACCTTCGACTGATGCAGAGAATACGTGCACATGGAGAAATCGAATGAGAAATGATAAGCTGTAAGGTTCGCCAAGACGCTCCCTATGCTACACGATATCCTTTCGATCCAAGACAATGGCGATGCGTTTCATAAAGTACAACCACCGAAGCATAAGAATTCTCAAATCATTGGTGCATTATGAGACCCTCACGCAGTACAAAATTCCATAAATACCTGATTTTTATGTGGACTGTGTTGGAGTACACACTGCATCATGAAGAAAGCGACCATGGCGTTGCCCCCAAGGGCTGTAATATGAGCTCGAACAATCGCCAATACTTCCGTCACAAAGCTGTGAGTAAATCCGCTCAGTCCGCCATTCTAAAGAAATAACCAGCAATGAGATTCCGATTCACAAACACCTCTTCTTAGTTGAAAAGTGAAAGTGCTGATGAATTTTTAATATCATAATTACCTCTCTAATGGATGTGCTCTCCCTGATGAAGAAGAAATTCAAGTTTCCTAAATACCTCTCGATTCTCCCACCGGGTAGATACGACAGGGGTGTGATATCCACGCCATATCTCTCTTTCAGAGGAACCTAGAACCATTCTTTTTTTTATGAAAGCTGTAACCTGTGAAGATTTGTATTTTATTACACCAACAATATAATAGTAATAAATCGTATAGCGATGAGAAAATTCAATTTTGGAAAAAGTCATTTTCCTCCTCCAAATGACCCAATAGACCCCTCGGGGAAAGGGAATTTTTTTTTTCATTTTGACTTTTCTGGCCGCTTTGATGATTGTAATATTATCTACTCCGTGAATTATGTAAAATGACCATTTGCTTAATAAGTAATGCTCACATGCTTGTACTTGTGCTGATGGGACTTGCTCTTGAACGGAGACTTGGGTTGGCACTTCTGATTCGAATTGATCAACGGAGAATTCGAAACGGACGTCAATGATTGATTAATTCCCGTCGAGCCATCCACATTCAAATTCTCAGCATGATCCTCATCAAGACTGAAAATCAAATCGTTGTCATCCGATTTCTTCAGTTGATCCTTGCTCGAGGAATTGTTAACACCCTTCTTCTTGTATCTACTCATCTTCGTGGGTTCTCCCAGTCCCAAAGCCATCCCCACGACAGTCAACTGTATCTCATCCTGTTCAGGTAGTGCTACTTTAAACTGCATATCACAGAGAGCACATGGCACCATTCGCCTGAGCTTAAAGAAGATAGTTTGAAGAATCCTGGCGAAGTACTTCGAGGGCATTGATGCAAATTGCCCAGATGGAATTTTCGCCCTCGATATCTGAGTGAACATTTGAAGATTTCTGACAATCTCAAGGTCTTCCAGGCCAAGTATGCTTTGAGTATTAACAACATGGAAATCGTCGGGGGGTCTGTCATCCATCAGGAGATTTATTCTGTCCATATCCTCAACATCATCCACTTCCAGAATACAAGCGTCTTTCGTTCCTGCCCCTAAATCTAAATCAGGAAGATCGTCATCGGACTCATCAGTGTCTGATGTTGTCATCGCTCGGCCGTTTTCAATATCAGCCAGCGGCTTGAGTCTGTAATACTCTCGATTTTTCTTGACTGTCTCGATTAGATTCTTCTGTATATCTCCAAGTTGTTCCTCATTATGCCAGGTATTACCAGACGCTATTTTGGGTACACTCGGTACAGGCAAAGCAGTCAAAAACACAGCAGTACCGACAGCCATGCCAATAACAAGCCTCTCCCCAATGGACACCTGAACTTTCAGTCCGAAAATAGCATTCATGCCTTTAACTTTGAGCTTATTCAACAACAAACTGTGCAACTCGTATTCTAAAAACGGTAAACAATCGGATATCTCTTTGGCGTTCAATTCACCCCGGAGATCTCTCTTATTTTTACAGACAGTAGCCTGGAGAAAGCAACCACCTCCTGTCGTTGGTATATTATCTGGTAACTCAATAGTTGTGAACAACACATCAGGAACTTTGTATCGTCTGCATATTGCACATTTCGATACATCCACTCTAAAAGGCACACTAGATTCATTGTAGGGAAGATGACAGAGGCTGCAAGCACTTTGAAATGGTACATGAGGTGTTTCATGTTCATTGGACTCTGAAATCCGTTTAATTTTAAGTGGCTGATTTTGATAAGCACCTGGCACCTCCTCACTCTTTTCACTTTTAACAGCCACTATTTTTTGTAAGTTTCTCTCCTTTTCTGCATCAACGGGATTTGTCACTGCAGGCGTTTGTGTTTTATTGAGCAATATCTCCTGATCTTGACTGGTATTCAAGAGATTTATCACAGCTGCTGTACCGGAGGCATTCAGCACACAGACGTCATCACTAAAACGAATAATGATGATTAATTTTTGTTGACCTTTGAGGGAGGTACATTGAGATAACAACTGGATTCTAAGATTACCATATACTTATCTCCTCTTTATAACCAAGAACAACATTACACCCGAGTGCACGAGCGTGTGATCGAACTTCCATCCTAATTTCCTTCCACCAAGCATCTCGACCCTCTGGCTCCTCAAGATTTGTAATTCTCTCAATCAATTTCACGGATCTCGCACTCACTAGCCCACCTGCGAATCATTGCATCTTTATGTATTACGAATTACGTACTATCGATTCCCTAGTAAAAAATGAAGATACCAAGGTGTAATACGAAGCCAGCTGGGTAGTACTGCATCGTGATGAATGGATACTCCAGCATCTCCAAGGCATCTTGATTCATCGTCCTGACAATTGCTGTCGACGGCCTCAAATGGCCTCCCATCGATCTGTCACTACCAGCCAGCGAATTCCCTGAAAATTATCACGAGAGAATATTAACTAGAAGGTATTCTTCAATTTTTCTCATTCGTCCGTACATTCTTTTTATATTTAAGTACATTTAGCAGACAGATTTACCATCGCGTTCGGATTAAAGGCTGGGTTATAGTACATCCAAGGTGTTGCGAACTTCCAAACTAGTTGACTGTTGAATTTATAAGGCTGTCATGGCAATGAGAGAAACAATCTTTTTCATAACACATAGCTCATGCAACTAATAGCTCAATGGTTAATAGCCGGGAATCAGATGGTTCATGCTATAACGAGGTAATAAATCCTATCTCGTAATCGAGGTGGACTCAAAAGTCATGAAATACCATCAGGTTTTACAGCTGTCATAAGCGGAGTTAGAACTACCAGGGGTAGTATTGGAGGATAACACTGATTCTACCCTAAAAGCTGATTTTGTCGCTGATATGAGGTTTGAAATGAAGAAACATTTTTCAACACTCCAATTGGATCGATAAATTTGTATGATACACGGAGAAAAAAATTCAGTAGAAAGCCGTGAATTAAAATGATAAATTAATCTGTAGGAATTCCAGAAATAATAGACGAAAATTGATTTTTTTTTAATTTTTTACTCCTTCGACGATTAAAACAGGAACTACCGTAATGTAAACTAAAGAAGTGTTTGTGATTTTTTTTTCTCCGTGAACACATCAGGTCCTCTAGGGCATTAATTCGGGTTAAATAGGTGACATATTTGACATAATGAAAAAATAATTATCATTAACTCCTGAACGGTACTCACGTTTGTGAAAGAATTTACAAAATCCTGGCAGGAGAAATAATGTGAATGGAACAGAAAAGAAAATAATAACTCGGTGATGTTTTTGACCTCGCATAATTGATGATCAATGCAGTGGAACAATAAATAATTGCGTCAATGTAAATAAAGCATCGTGCATATCAATCCTCGAGTTGTCCATTAATCCGACAACTTGTCATCAAGTAACAGAAAAATAACAAAACCCGTGGAGAAAATAGCCAGTTGCCTCGTCGAGTAACGATAAATGCCAAAAACCGTCGGCTCTCCCGGTCTAAGGGACAGCAGACCACTAGGCTAATTAAAAAAGTAAGCAATTAACTCTTTGAACTGGCTACCATGTACAAAAACGCCTGCTGCAATTCTTCATTCAAAAAGGAGTACAAAAGCATTTATTTGGATTCACAAACTCACCCTTTGGTGTGATACTCAAGTCAGAATCGCTGGATCTTCGATGAAGTGGTGCAGGTAATTTAGTTGCTGGTGTATTGGTTCCCTTGGAGCCAACAGAGGCTGGAAAAACCGGTGGATGCACTGGGCTCGATGACTCCTCCTGCAGTCTGGGATTAAGAGGCGGAGAGGCAACACGCGTTTCGTCAGTCATTTTAGCCAAGTTAGTAATATTAGTTATTGATAAATGGCTCTGTAAATCTTCCAAACTATCCTCACTGTGACTTTTGTGCACTGAGATATCAATCTCTTTAGGATCCAAACATTGAGAATTAGTGGATTTTTTAATGACACTCAGGGGAATGGCATCACTAAAGTCATTATTAATTGATCTTGACAATTCGTTACGTCGTTTGATTTTGTCATGATCTAATATCTTATCACTGGGTATTAATTTGTCCTTCGAAATGAATTCGTTCAGATTTGCATGTCTTGGGGATGATTCTACCGGGGACTGGGGGCTTTTCGAGGACTTGGTGGAATAGTAAGAGCTCGAGGCTGTGGGATTTGGAGAGTGTGTAACCAGAGGAGATATTTGGTGGGTGTGGTGTGAGTGGTGGTGATGGTGATGCCTCTCTGGGGACTTCGATCTGGAGTTTCTTCTGTGCGATTTAATACGGTGGATTGACTCTGGGGATGGTGTTGAGTTCACGTGTCTGTGGCCATGTCTCTTTTTGCTTCTAGTCGACTCCTTTCGCTCGACGTGCATGTGGTGCGCCATCATCTTGATGTCTATCGTTCGAATCAAATCCAACATGCAGTACTGACGATAATTCTTTCTGAATCTCTCGCTCATGTGCTGAGCTTCTATCGTGAACTCTTGGGGAAGAGGGAACTCCAGGGGCTTCTCATTGTGGATGCAATATGGGGTGTGAATATTCACATCTAGGTCGAGCTGTGCTGGTGGCTTCAGATGAGAATTGTCTGTGCTCGCAGGATCGATTATTATTGCTGGTTTTGAGGGTATCGAGAGGGATTTGGAATCCCTTGTCTCAGGATTTTTTCTCGAAGTGCCTGGTTGACTTTCTGGAAGATGAGCCTGAGGCTTGAGCTTCGGAGGCCCCTTGTATATCACTGTCTCTGTCCTTGAGACCTTCTTCGGGGTCCTATCCTTTTTATCGTGACGAGATTTTCCTTCGAGAGAGCCAGACTGAAATAGATACCTTTTATACGGAATTGGGGAATCTTCTGCAATTGAATTTTCCGAGGTTTTAGACGATATCTCTGCGTTGTTATGGTGCATGGTCTCTAGGATCCTCGGAGATTTTGAATCGAGAGGCGGTTTCTCCTTTCGGATGACTGCTATCACTTCTGGATGGAACTTCGGTGGGGCATTGACCTCGATATCGCTGAGATCGATCAAGGATGATTCTGGTATTTCATTTGAAAGAGAAATATCGTGAGTATCTAGTGCAGGTACGGCTTCACTATCATCTGCAGATCTTTCTTCAAAGTTTGGAGGTAGAACTCGGTCGGCAACATCCACAGGGGTACTTGCAGCAAGAAAAGACTCATCAACTGTATCGAACTTCCTCTGTTTCCCAAGAACTTTCAATTTGAAACTTGGAGAAGTCTTCAGTGCGGAGTCTTTGAGAGAAAGTTCGTATGGAAGAGGCAGTTTAATCTCTGAATCCGAGAGGGAAGGAATCAACGGGAGTGCACTATCATCAGGCTCGCAGCTACAGCCGAGGATTATTCCTTGCGAGAATTCAACCAGATCTTGATCTTCTTTATTAAAAATTCCAGATATTTCATATTGCTCTGAAGGAGAGCCATCGATTCCCTCAGCTATTCGTGAGGGAACTACATTTAATTCTTCATTACTGAGTTCTTGCCCACCTGAGGCAATATCGTCTAGAATATTATAATCTGTGCTCGAATTTAAACCATTTTTCTCCAAGGATGGGTTCTTTTCGATGATCTTAGTAATTATATTCCCCTCAGAATCTGAACGATGAGTTTCGGTCAATTCGTTGATATTCGATTCAATTTCAATTGAAAATGGATTAATCAAGGTATTATGAATAGCATTCTGGACATTCTGATTCGACGAAACTTCTTGCAAGTTGTTTGATGTTTCTGGTTTATCAGAATCTGAGGGATTGATACCTTCAATCTCTTGTAGATGAGTTCCATTCAATGCATCATTGCTACATTCAATTCCATGTGAGAAAGAATCGTCAAGAATATTATAATCTGTACTACTATTCTGAACTCTTTCCTCCAAAGACTCTTTTTCCTCAAAAGTTCGGGAGATTTGTACCACAGAATTCCCTGGAACTTGTGGCGGTGGTTCATCAAATTTCTCAATAATAAGCGAATCCTCAAGGATATTGTAATTAGTGCTAGACTCCGAAGGTTCGTCATCAGACGTTGACGTATCAGTTTCGGACGAGGACATCATGGGAACGTGGCCCTCGGTATAGTCATACCCATGATTTTTATCCCCGAAAACATTGCATTTCACGTTGTGTTCAATGGAGACGTCTTCCCCAGCCTCCTGATTGGAATTCCCATCATCAGAGGTGCTGAAGGGCCTCGTTTCACCATCAGTACTCTCAAAATTCTCTAAAAAGTTAACAGGGGACGGGGCAGGTGTCTCTCGGTCCTCTAGAACACAATCAAGGGGAAAACCAGCGTGAACCGATTTGATGAGCATCGCTGCGATGCCCTCGGACTGATTTTTCTTATGGGTAAATTTCTTTCTCCTGATCGATTGCCTGAGCTCTGAAAATGAGGACCGAGTGGTGTCTGACCCAGCCACTGACCACGTGCTTGAGTAAGTCGAGTCATCGCTCTCTTCGTCAAACGAGTCAGAGATCTTGGATTTCATTTGAATCATCTTTTTGGGCAAGTACCTGAGATTCTTGAGACCACGAGAGAACGCTGAGGTTCTCTCACCCCTCATGTCCTCAAGGGCCAACATTGTTCTCAGAGACGATTCACGTATCAATTCGTCTGACAAGGAATGAGTTGACAAGGCCCCAGATTTTCTGAGATTTTCTAAGGGACTGCACTGCAAGGACATTTGTCGTTTGACTTCTGTCGATTTGTAGTCAGTTATCCTCATGGCTATTCGTGGCCTTTTATTCCAGTCGTGTTTTGGAAAACTTTTCCCTATCTTTGTGGTTTCGAGGCTCGTTGGAGAGCGGGATAAGGGACTCGGGGTATTCGGAAGCAGAGGCAAACCATCGTCACTCTCAGAATAATCTAGTTGGGTTTTATATTGCGAAACAAAATATGAAAGGCTATTTGTCACATGCAGGCGAACACAAGGGGAAGAAAGAGAGAATTAATTTTTCTTCGTTTCTGATCTTCACGTTTTTGCTGGTAACTATTATAATGGTTTAATGGATTGGGTACTCACTCTTCGACGTTTTGGCTATCACTCAGGAGACTGATATCTTGAAGCTTCATGAGGGTTACCGCTGTGCCAATTCCACGAGCTACGATGCCTGATTCTCCTTCCAGATCGAAATTCTGGCAGTATCTGAAAATTGAATATTGAATTCAAGCATTTATTGAAAAACACAAAATATGATTCCTTTGAGGTGAATTTTATGACAAAAATTCGGAAGAACTGTCACGATTATCTACTGTCAGACTTTCAACCCAAATTATATTTCCTTGTTTATTTATTTATTCCCCTCAATTATGAAAATGTATTATTCGTACCCAATGACAGCATTTCCACCGAGATCTAGAGCCTTCAGACCGATTTTCCTCTGGACTTCGCCACTGAGTTTGAAAAATAACGTTTGACGTGCCTCATTTGATGCCCGCGGAGTTCTTATCTTGTCGATCCACTTGTATTCTGGATCGTCACTCACGATGAGCTCTTCCACGAATCCATGAATTACCTGAACGTGATAGCCTTGGGGAACATTTGGAGCTGGGAACAATTAAAAAAATATTGAAAATAGAATGAAAATCAATTCCATATGGGAGGGAATTTACTGAACTTACAATAAAAAAATTGAACTCCACAGGACGACTGTCGAAATTTATTGAAGTCTGAGAATAACTCCACCTTGACGATGATGCTGACCTCGCCCCTTATCCCATGCATTGTATCAAACACTGGAATCCAGCCTGTCATGACGGAACCTGCAATACAAGAATTTCATCAGATGATTCATCTAGAGAACAGTTGAGAGTTGATGATTACCTCCTTGAGATCCTGCACTGGAATTGAGTGCAGCCTCTAATGTCCAGATATTTTTAACAGGTGGAGGCAATCCAGGCAGTAGCAGGGGATTGAGATTCAAGTAGACCTTGCCAATAGCATCATTGGCAGAGTAAGTATCATGGTCCATTAATCTTAGCTGCAGGGGTTCGTCCTGCAGCTCAGCATCATCAACCTCGAACCTGTACCACTCAGAGTTCCACTGGGGATTGAGGGTTTTTCTGCACACATCAGTTTTGTAAGTCGTATTTCCGAATTTAATTTCCACGTAAGCATCAGTTGTATCGCCAGAACGATCCATAACTGGCAGATTTCTTCCTGCCAGAATCCTCACTTTTATCTTTCCAGGCATTTTCTTAGATTTAGCTATTCAATTTTCACCCTGAAACAATCGTCAATATTCTGTTATTATTATTTGAGCTTCTGACAGATAAGATAAAACTTGGAAGTGAAGAATCACTTGGTAATTTGCCTGTCAAGTTTTTGGCTAAAGGAACAACACATCATTAAGTGAAAATCTATTTTTACCCCGAGAAGTTCTCAAATATAGAACGATTGAGTATAGAAAATTTGAAAATAATCACCGATGTAAACGTGTCCGAACTACCGCGTTTAAAAATAAAAACACATGATAAATAATATCAAAGAAAACATGCACACCCTGGATACCTTAAAATAGGTTAAGTCTGCACCATTTTTGTTAATTATTTCACTCTAGCACCTGAGCACTTTCGTGCCAACAATTTATAAATACTTCAACGGACTACATTTTTTAAATTAATGAATCCCTCACTGTTTCACTTCTGTGCAAATCGAAAAATTGACATCTGAGTTTAGGAGAAATACACTGTCATTGTCTAATGCACAGCCGCCATTTGTGACAGTTCACACTAATGTCATAAGTAGGTCAAACTCACCTGAAATCCTCATTCCCATATTTATTTCACCGATTTGCCGATTGATTGGGGTTTTGGGTTATAATTGAGAGCATGCGGAGCTGTGTTTTGAAATTCTGCCTCACATAATAATACCCTGGTAAGCTTGATTTTCATTGGAGGAGAAAGGAGGTGGGGGTAACGATTCATGAAGGCTAATGTGTCAAGATGCTCCGATCAGAGAGGATTGACTAAAGTAGAGGCTCAGTTCTGGGGGTTTGAGTGACCCCAGCGGCATCGTAGTACTGCACCCCAAGAGAGGGAGGGCGCAACACGCAATGCTGGGGTGTTTTTTTTTTATTAACCAAGTTTTTATTGCAATGCTCGGGTGTCCATCAAGTCGACGGGGTGAATTTTATTTTCTGCTGTACGAAAGCTTTTTGTTTTTCATTTGTTTAACTGAAATTTAGCCGACTGTAGCACGTACGGAAGAGGGAAACCACATCTTGTGGAATTTCAATGAAAAAAATTATTCAATATGTTGAAGATATACCACTAATGAATTTATGTTTTTAAATGAACGCGTTGTCTTAGCGGTAACGTGCTCGACTGGCACGCCGGCGGTCCGGGTTCAATCCCCGGCATAATTCATTTTTTTTTTTCAAAATAATTCCAATTTTTTTTTTTGTTAATGGCAAATCAATCGAAATATCGTTTAAAAACTGAATATTTGAAAATCGAGAAGATATCCAGTGAAATTGAAAAATTAGCAATTTTTTAAAACAATACTTTTGCAAAATATATACTCCTAATGAAATTATAATAGCATAATGGTGCGATATCCTAGCGGTAACATGCTTGGCTAGCACGCCGACGGCCCGGGTTCGATCCCGCCGTCATTCATTTTTTTTTTTAAATAATTCCAATTTTTTCTTTAGGTAGGCATTCACTGCAATTGAAAAATTCGAAATTTTTGAAAAAGTATTAGGGTAACATGAACATCGAGGAGCTATTCACTGAAATTTTCACTGAAAGTGAAAAATTCGAAATTTTTGAAAAAGTATTAGGGGAACATGACAATGGAGGAGCTAT